TGGAATCTGAACAATTTTATTTTTCTTGTTTTTTATTAGTATATGTTTACAGTACATAATGGGGAGTTGGTGCATATATATAACACTTGCTTTTTTTTTGAACTGGGGATTGAACTCAGGCCCTTGTGCTTGCCAGGCAGGCACTTGTTCTACTGAGCTATCTCCCCAGCCACAACACATCTTAATTGTTCTTTTTTGGGGGGCCCCTACCTCTTTTTCCCTCTCTGCTCCTTGTAATGTCTGGCTTCCCTCCCCTTCACAAAAGTTCTATTTTCATCATTTTCTCCCTTCTGTTCTATTTTTTCCATCCATTTTCCCTCCCTTCTCTTCCTCTTCCTCCATGTTTTTTGTTATTGACTATGATTCATTCATTTACTAAGATTCATTCAATATTAAATCTTGTTACTGACCACACTACTTTTTTTGGGGGGTATGATTTTTTTTCTCCATAATTTTATTGAGAAACAAATAGCAATGAGACAGTTTCAAATCAAATTGGTAGGACAGTTTCAATAATAAACACATTGCATACTCTCTTCCTAGTGGTTATTTGCTGTACAAGATGCTGACATGATATCCTTTTTACAACACTATTAGAACAAATCCCTCTATTCATTAAGAGAATGTAACTATATATCTATCCTAACCACTTTGAATACACAGATACAAAATGAACATTCATCTGTATCCCCTTCTTTGTTTAGTTCCTTCATTTGAATATTATAGATGTGTGAACTCGGCAAAATATTCCAAAATAGTCCAGTAGTGCATAATAGTATTGGGTCTTCCGCTTTACTGGCAATGTCAGAAATTGTTGACCTGAGTCCTCTACAGCTCAACATAACAGCATGATGGCTTTACTTCTTATATTTCGTTTTTATACTTTTCTGCTGGGTGGTTAAGACCGACGTAAAGCAGGATCTATGCAACAAGAGTTGTATCTTTTTGACCACACTGCTTATTGTATTTTAATTTCTTATACAACATATGCAGTATATTCTCCTGCAATTGTATCTGTGACTTTTGCAGTTTCTCCCTACAGGTTGAAACCCCTGGTGCCTTCGCTGTGTCTTCTAGTTTATTCACACTTGGGCATTTGCCTGCTGATGTGCATTCTGTCTAATTATGAATTTGCTTATCTCTCATTTATAATATGGAACTATATTGACTTTTAATAAAATTACATATGTAAGTTATTAGTGTCTATTACTTCAAGAGTGAAAAAGGGGTGTTATAAAATATTTGTTATAAAAATGGTAAGTTGGTTCTGCTGGGTTTGAGAATGACTGTCATACAAACCACTGATGTTATAGCACTGCTCATCACTTCATATAACAAGCCCTGGTCATTGGTGGGAAATGTTCTAGAAAAGATCTATCCAGGAGAATATGACATGAATAATGTGGATAATTTTAATTTTTTTAGTGGCCCTATTTAAGAGTATACAGCAAGTCAGGTAAAGTTAATTTTATTAACCATTCAATATTTTATTTAACCAAATATTATTTCAAATGAAATCAACATAAAACGTATCGAAATAGTCTTTTATTGTTTTTCATCCTGCCTGTGAATGCCACGCATTTTCAACTTGTCGTGGGTCTTGATTCTGATGAACCATTTCAAGGGCTCAGTAGACATGGTCATAGTTACAATAGGGGCCATTGCTGTTATAGAGGGTCTATGAAGAAAGAAATTCTTAAAAAGGGAATAAAATAGGACTTGCTCCTTCTGCGCAAGGGTGGAGCGCTGCCCGCATCCTTCCTGCCCTTCTCTGGCTCTGCTTCATGCCGATGCTGAGGTTCTAGCTCCAGTGTGCTCCATCAGCAGCACAGATCTATGCTGAGGCCGCTCTCCATGACCACTGGCCTCAACGCAAAGCTGGAAAGCCAGGGGGTGCTCTGTGCCAGACTCTTCCACCTTCATCTCCTCCCTTGTTCCTGGTCTCAAGGTCCCACTGAGATCTCCATCTGCCCACGCAGAGACCTCTTCTCTCCAGATGACCTAGGTTCCACGAGAGTCCCTCCCACTGCCTTTTCTACCTGACATGTCCAGCATTTGGGGACATGTCCTTTAGCCAATGTCCTTGTTCCCCACTGGTAACAAGCTCTTTCCTAATCTACCATTTGACAGGCAGGGCTGTTGCTCCTGTAGCCTGGTAGTTAAAAGCGCAGGCCTTCCAGGCAACACACCTCCACTGAAGCCATTTGTATAACCCCAAAGCTGTGGATTCTTGAAAACTAAACTAAATCCCGAGCCACAGTTTTGTAGGAAATTCAAGTAAAACAATACCTTTCGGGGCTGTTGTGATGTCTAATAATGTGAGTCAAGTAAAGCAATGGGTGTAATAAACATAGCCCAAGTCATGAGATGTTGTAAGCAATCGATATAAGGAAGCTCTTATCACACTGTTCTTCAATCTATAATTCTCTTCCTGTTCTCCGCTCCATATTCAAATCCTAACAACTTTTCAGGCTTTCTTAGGTTTCACCTTTTCTCTAAGATGTCTGCAAACTTTATTCTCCCCTTTTCATGTATTTCTTGAGAAGTCTGACATAAACCCATCTGGGTTTCTAGTATGGAGCACATCATGACTATTTATTAAATTAACTGATCAGTTGACTGATTTTGATGAAACGAGGAACACTAGGGCAGATGCTGCCGAGAGTGGACCCCAGCTCCGGTCAGCCTGTGCTCCTTTGCAGCTGTGATGAGCAGTTTGACCGCGACCCCAGGGGCATACTGTGTAGCCCCACAGACATTCCCAGGAGGGTAGGGCCGCCACCACCCACATAGTGTCTCATTCAGTGACATGCCCACAACTGCCCTTTCTCTGCTGCCTGAATCATTTCCCTTCTGCCCTCATGAGCGTCCCAGAATTATCACCCAAAGAAACTACCTGCGTCGAAGACCTGGTTTCAGAGTTTGCTTTGGGGGAACCTGAAAAAGGCAAGAACTGGTATTTCTGAGTCCACATTGGATGCTGAGCATTGTATTAGGTTCTCTGATTTCATTATCTTCTTTCCTGTTTTCAGTGTTCGAACAGGCTTGCTAGGATTATATTCATCTTTCAGAAACAAAAAAGAAAACAAAGAACTCGGAATAACTGATTTTGGGGCTGGAGAGATAGCTCAGTGATCTAAGTGCCTGCCTGGCAAGCACAAGGACCCAGGTTTGATCCCTGGTGCCGCATGCTGTGCCAGCCCTGGAACCCTGAGCATGCCACGCTGAGCACCAGAACCAGGCGTGGTGGCGCATGCCTGTAATCCCAGTGCTGGGGAGGCTGAGACAGGAGGATCACTGCAAGTCCAAGCTGCTTAGTGAGACCTTGTACTACTAATTATTTATTAAATAGATAAATAAATTACAGAGATATAGAAAATAAGTGACAATAATGATTACATAACAACGATGCTTCTATAGTTACCCATTTCTGAATTAACAATGATATAAAAAAATTAGAGTAAAAATAAAAGAAACATAGTTCAGAAAATAAAAGTCAGATAAAATTAGTTCTCTTTCTTAGGTGTAGCTAAAATATGTCAAAGTGAGGTACAGACAGAAACAGATGAAATAGTGTGTGGAGACATTATACATCAAATATTAGATGTCATTTAAATGCTTTATTTGTAGTCCATTTTCTTTATTCTGGGAAATAAAGACAGGAAGATAAGGCAGCAGAGAGCTGCCTGAATGATTCAGATTTCAGAAGGATGTATTAAGAAATGAAACTGATTTGGCTTCTGTGACACTGGATAAAGAATTAGACAAAGGAGGCTTTTGGGGTACTTAGATACTGAATGGGAAGGGAAAGGGTTGGGCTGATGAGAAAAACTATTGAGAAAAATTTCTTTCATATTAAAATGCTCCTTCACAATTTTATCTTTCCAAGTCACACTGGCTACACACATAAGGCTGATAGAATTATAACGTGAACTGTCAACTCCAATAAATGTGGGTAAGGAGATAGCTGGCAAATGTTGAAAGAAAGCAAAGGACAAAGAGATATGTTTCCATATGCATGGGAAAGTAGTGGGGGACCAATGCATCCCCAGGTTCTTAGGAACTGTATTATTCAAATTGGAAACATCAGGAAAACTCACCTAGAATTAGGGAATATGACCCAATTCCATAGCTACTACTCTTTGTGTTTTTATAGTGTAGTTGTTAAATCAAGTTTATAATTTTTTTTTTTTTTTTTTTGCTCCGAATGCCTTCAGGCAGATTTGGCTGGCTTGAGTTGTAGGGATCGAACCACAGCAACCTGAGCCTGACTGCTTTGTTGAAGCAGCCACATAAAGAACTGAGCTAAGGGGCAGGCCCCCAAGTTTATAATTCTTGAGGGGAAAAGGAGTGGTATATTTTTCAAAGGTAAAGCCCATCATCAAATCAGTTTTCATGAAATATGAGAATACTTGGTATTTTGTATTGAGCTTTGGATTTATTAGACAAAACACGATAAATCTTGATGTATGTATTATCTCTGCATTTGCTACTGTTTGCCTTTATAATGTCACTTGAAATTACATAGAACTAGTCAATATGAATTGGGAATTGTAGTTTCTTTTTTAACATTTTAAAATGGTTTTCACTTATGTATAACCCAAAAGCATTGCATCATGCTACTTGCTGTAAATGTATTAGCTCTGCTATGAAGTCATTTACTTTTGAACCCTGCAAAAAGAGGGCTTTAGCCAAGCAAGCTTTTGTCATGTGCCCTCTAACTCACAATTTAATAAATGCCATTTTCTAAGTGCATTACCTCATGCTTTGGCCAGAACCCAGACAAATCCTGAGAGAATAAGAGAAATGTGCTTTCTGACTGATTCATCCATATTTTATTTTACTTTTCATTAAGAAATTACTCTTTGAAAAAAATCAATAATCCCCCCATGGCTCGGGGAGAGGCAGGTGCTTTGCAGGGACACATTCTAATATCTCAGATCGTACTGCCTTCAGCCAGATGTTGCTGATCGAGTTTCTGTCCTTTCTTGTTCTTCCAGCCTGGGCACACGGCGATGCCAGGAGAGTGACCTATCCTACAGACAGCCAGGGCCACTTCTGTGGCCAGAAGGGCACCCCCAATGAGTGAGTATGACCAATTAGCTCTGTGCACAGAATTTCAACTGTGTAAGCTGGAAACTAGAAATCACTTTATCATGAATCTGACTAGACTTCTTAGGAAGACTGAAATTTACAAAGGAGGGTTTTCCTTCCCCCTTTTCCTATGGACAACTGGAAGCAGTTGGGAAGTTTTATATTAAAGGACTTAAGACATGATGTCATTGTCATGCAGCATTTCATTGGAATGCCCAGAAATTCTGCTTCATAAAAATATAATTCTAATGGATAGATTGGGCCAGTGAGTATTTTCAGTGGCTATATTTTGCAATACTATAAGAAATGCGTTACTGGCAGACCAAGCTGTGAGCTACTACATAAAAACTGGTGCAGTAGTTTGATTCTTTTTGTCATGTTGCCTACTGATAAATCGTTCCGCCTTCCAAAGTGAGGGGGAAACCCAGAGATCATCAGTGCTCAACAGAATTTTCAGGGCAACTGAATTTCTCTGGGGGTATTGACCCCCATGTAGCTGAGAAGCCAGTTCTTTTCTATTGTTAATCACAAGAGAAGTCTCATTTCTGAAAGGAAGTTTTATATTTTTTCACCTTAAAATCAAGCAGCCAAGAAAACGTAAATTGCACAATTTTAGAAAATGTTTCCCTTTTCTCCTATTCCATTTCTTTCCTTACTTTGCAGCCTAAGGTTGTTGTTAGATCTCCTAGCTCTTTATAACTAGTTCAGTTTCTGTAAAAGCTTACTTGGGATGGTTTAAAAAAAAAAAAGAGGCAACAGCCTCTACCCCACACTCCCCCACCAGCACCACTACTGTAAAAAAGAAAAGAAAGAAAGAAAACAGGTTTAGAATTTCAATTTTGTTCTCATGCTGCCCCCCATAACTGAGTTTATTACTGTAAGGGCTATCAAGATTCAAACAAGAGATTCAGGAAGGAGTTAGCAAATTCATGGAAAATCACTTTAGGCAAACAAGGAACCAAGATATTTGGAGCGGGAGGGAAAAATCCTTAATCATTTTAAGCTCAGTTTATAGAGGACAAATTTATTCCTATAGAAGGCCTTTTCCCTATCATAGACAAGTGGACTAAATTCTGTTTTAGCACGGTAATTCTTCTTTTAACTTCAGTACTTGGAAAGTCTGAAAAAAGCTTCACATTATAAAGGACAAAGAAAACACCAGGTGATGTTAAAAAAAAAAAAAAAGAAAATCATACAAATCTTTACATCTTTAGTACTTTAAAACAGGCCATTTTAAAAAGGCTTTTACAACAATAAATGTTTTAGACCTAACCCAATGACCCACTTACTTTAAGTAAAGATGTGACACCACAAGTTTCAGTAGGTAAAAATTATTTGGGGAGAATCCTTATTTATCACAGGGATGTGTTCATTAAATTATAATTTATAATAAATTATATTAGAATTTAAACAGATTTTCAACAGTAATATGTTAATAGTAAATTATGGACCAACAACTTAATGCAATAAAATAGGGTAACTGGAAATTATGTTTATAATTTCAACAGTGAATTCTGCTGTTCATTTTCATAGTGTTTTTTATAGTTTCTAGGTTTGTTTCACAATTATAGCTTGCCTTACTCCTGAAAATAACATACTTTTATATTTGCATAATAATTTTATAATTCCATAAACATAGTAGTAAACCCCCAAAAAATCATAGAATTTTGAAGAATTTTACCATACAAGTATAACATCTTAAGTCACTGTAAACAAACTTAAAAAGATAAGTGGCAAATCAAGAAAAAAGTATTTAAAAAATTTTTCAGACAGATGAATCAAATTTCATGATATAAACTGCTCTTACCAAGATCAGAAAGGAGGGCTGGTGAGATAGCTCAGCTGACTAAGTACCTGCCTAGGCAAGTGCATGGACCAGAGTTTGATCCCCAGCACCACCTGCTGGTCTGGCCCACCCCTGGGTGCACTGAGCTAGCCCCAATACTGGTGGTGGTGCATGCCTGTAATCCCAGCACTGGGGAGGCTGAAAACAGGATGATCACTATGAGTCCTAGCAGCACAATGAGACCTTGTATCAAATTTTAAAAAAAAAGACAAGATCAAACAGGAAAAAATGATCATCTAATATAAAAGGCAAAAGTCATAAACAGGAAATAATATAATATAATGGCCAATAATAATAGAAAATGCTTGAGAAGACAAATTAATAAATATGACTTTATTTACTATATTGCCAAATAAATTAAAATGATTAGAATTTCCCCTGTTGGCTAGAGTAAGAACTAGATATATCATTTATATTGGTGATAGTGTAATATAATAATATGTATCAGGTCTTTATCAAGCGTGTATGCCCTGTGATTCGGCAGCGTTGCTCTCAGAGATGTATCTGGTAGCAATAGGAACACATTCCTTAGCATTGTAGGTGCCATGTTTGTTAGCTTTCCATTACTGCAACAAAACAGGCAACATAAACAGTTTAAAGCCATGAAGGTTTACTTCAGCTCGCAGTTTCAGAGGCTGCAGCCCATGGTCACATGACCCTGTTACTTTGGACTTGTGAGCACTTGTGTCATTACAGGGACCTGTGGTGGAGGTGAGCTATTCACTTCAGACAGACAGGAAGCAAAGAGAGGAAAAAGGGTCCAGGGTCTCCATAAGTCTTGCAAGGTCATGGCCTGTGCTTCCTCAACCAAATCACACGTCCTACGGCTCCACTGACTCCCAGGAACCTCCCAGGATAAGACTCTGCCCTTCAACAGGACCATGCGCTTACCAGGCAGGCACTGTCCCACTGAGCAATACCCCCACCCCTCCTCTTTTCACAAAAGATAAACATTTTATCACAAGAATACACATCCTGGAGTCAAATTCTGACTTTACCTCTGTCAGCTTTGACCCTTGGGCATAGGACACACCCATCTAGCTTGACGTTCCTGATAGTGGTGCAAATATTAAATGAGAGAACAATAACTTCGGAGAAATGTCCATCTTTCTTTCTATTTACAGAGCACTATTTTTGGGGGTTCTCCAATGGACTGGCCCCTCTGTGATATTCATGGATACTCAAATAAGAAATGTCTATACCTTTCTTCAGGGATCACTTAGATTTCAGCGATGAATCAAAAAGAGGCATAGATATAAATCTATTGTGTTCATGCAGTGCTGTGTTTTAAGACTAATGTACTGTATTAGTCACTTTTCCAGCACTGGGACAAAACCCATGAGGCCTGCAACTTAAAGGAGGAGGGGTTCATTTTGGCTTATGTCTTCCAAGGGGTCAATCCATGGCCAGCAGGTTTGCAAGCAAAACAGCACAGCAGAAGGGCCTGGTGGAGGATAATTGTGCAACTCATGACAGACAGGTGACAACCAGGTAGCAGAGAGACAGGGAAGGGAGAAGCTGGGAGCAAGCACACACCTATTATGTTGTGCTCACCTGGAGTTCCAGCCAAGTTCCCTCCTTCTAATACCACATTCAGCTAAGAACTAATCAATGGATTGAGCCACTGCTGAATGGAATGCCTTAATGATCCATTCTCCTTATAAAAGACACACCTCTGCATATCTGGGGGGAGATATTTTAGATCTAACCATACGTACCATGCCAGCAATCCCAGGTGATACACCACTCCCATCCTTTTCCACAGGCTCCTTCAAGATCCCAATTTAAAAATAAAAAATAAAAAAATTTAAAAAATTTTTAAAAAGATCCCAATTTAGTGACTTGAGTATTTATCACTCCCTGAATTTATCCAAATGATGAATTTGTTGACTGAGCTCAAAACTGTTTGAGATCAGGAACATTCTCTTTTTCACTGTTGTATCCTCAGCACCTACAGTATTGTTTGCAACTGTAGTAGATACATGATTACATGAATGAAAATGAAAGGCTACCACAGAGAAGTAATTTTTTCCTAAAGTAGGGATCAGTGTGAAGGTCTTAGAAAGTCCTTGCAAAAAAACACTGCTAAGTGTGGATCAGAGTGTGGACCAGTGATACTATACTCGTGTGGAAAACTGGGAAACGAGTTGAGAAGAGTGAGTACTTTTCATTGGGAAACTGGAGTTCAGAAGCGTGAGTACTTTTCGAGGTCCGTTTGACTACTAAATGGCAATGGTAGCGCTTTCCGACCTCTAATTCTGTGCTCTGTAGGCTGCACACCTAGAGTTGCGGTGAAACTGGTTTTATGCTTACCCTAGGCCTAAAAGTCTTGAGCAGAACTGGTAAAAAGAATTCATTAAATAATGTAAGTAACTATGTGTGTCTGTATGCAAAAAGGAAATTTATGTATACTCAGAGGTGTAAAATGTTTAGTCTTCTTCCCAGGCCAGGGGGAATACTTATTCAAGTGTAACTAGAATATTTGTACTTGTTATTGGCATGATGGAGTTATATCAATCCTTTTCCTCTCATCTCTAGAAGAGATAACTTACACCTGAACTTGAATTCTGTACTTAGAAAGGGTGCAGTAATGTTTGGAGTGCAGAATTTGACCTTTTGTGTTGTGCTTATAGGGAGTCCAAAAGGACTCCAGGGGAAGCACTGGGAGTTTTCTAAAATATCAAGAAGACAGAAGAAGCTGAAACTTTAAAGGAAAACAGTGTTTGTTGCTGTGTATAGCTTCTGCCTTTCAGTCTCAGGGAAGTCGTGCGTGACACTTGGGTTAGAGACCATCTCTTTGAGATTTCCACTAAAAAGCAAGAACCTGGTTGATGTTGATGCCACCTGCTGGCTGCTACAAAAACTTCAGCTCACAAAGGTTGTGCTCAACTTGGAAAGTGATGCAGCACCATTACCAAGTAAGGCGGACGGAAAGATCCATGCCCGAGCTCAAATAGACAGGAAGCATGAGGAGGACCTCTCCATGTTCCATCTGGCACCTGAGGGAAACAATAACAGCTCTGCGTCCAGGTCACTGGAGACCTTGCACGGAATGGCAGAGGAGCCCCCCACACACTACACACCCAGGTCCCCTACTTGGAGCTTATGTTTTAAAATATGAATCAATGTAATATATGAATGTAATGAGGAGCTTTATAATAAAAGCAGTGACCCCCCCCAATCTAAGTCTACTCACGGTTTTATTCCACAGACATGATGTTTTCTCTCTCTGGTTTTAGTTCATCAGGCTGCTATTTTTGTGTTATTTTAAATTATATTCTTACTCTTTTATTTCATGCTGTATTAACTTTACATAGCTTGTGCTGAGAGCCAGCTTTGGAAAGTGAAGACGCAGCTCATTCCCACGGTCTCTTCCTGATCCTCATGTTTGGCAGCTGAATTAGTACATAAAGAGCTCCTCGTGGTCACTTTAAATAATATACTAATATTCTACTTCTTGTTCCTGCTGCCCTTAGTCAGTACTTTAACTCCTCTTAGTTTCATTCATTTTGCAGTATTGAATAACTAGCTAGAATGGGCCAAGTCCTAGGCTAACATTCTGACATAGTAAGAATGAAAAACTGGATAAGGTCTGAACTGTACCTTTGAGGATAACATAAGCTGGTAAATAACTTGAGTACTTTATGTACTATTTTGCAGTTTATAAATCAACTTTACTTTTCATGCAGTCTCGATACTTACGGATTTTCCATTCATAATTTTAACTTCTCTTAAGGGACCAGTGATCTGTGACACATGATAATTTATGTATTTGCTTAGGTACAAATGCGAATCACATGCTCGGCATGAGCTGTGGGTGATGCAATGGTTTGAGTGGTGAAAGAGCCATGCTGACTCGCAGAGCCCTGAGTAACCTTGTGCTTCCTACATGTGAATTTATAACCAGCTGCACGAGGCATTTGAACTCAGGGACGTGATGTGGGCTTATTTTTCTCCTAACGTTGATCTTAACTATGCTTTTTCAAATTTCCCTTCTTGCTTTGCCATCTCAGCGAGATTTCATTGTTTGCCAGACATTTTTGTGGGCCAGACTTTAGCGTAGTCCAATTTAAAATTTCAGTCTTATTTCTTCCAGCCTCCAGTTTGATCCTACAAAGGAGATGGAGTCTGGAGAGTATCTGATCTGCTCTGTTTCACTCCTTTCTGATTCTAACTCTCTAATCATGTTAGGAGGGATGCGAGGAGGAAGAAAGGGTTGTCTGTTATTTTGATGGCTGCAACCCGGTCCCCTAAGGCTGTTGTTGCTGTGGCTAAGACAAAACTGACTAGCTGTCAATACTCTCTTTGAAGGAAGAAACCAAAGACAGGCTTTCTTACAGTCAACCAGGGAGAATTTTCTGGCAAGTCCTTCCTAGATAGCTGCATGTGTGATAGCAGCTTTGGCCAGCTGTCTCCTGGATGGATTCAGCTCCGTTCCTGGTGATTTGCCTCCACAATCTCTCATTGTCAGGCAAGGTTCTACCCAGGATGCTCAAGCTCGCTTGCATTTCTGCACATCCTGCCTGGACAGGCTTCTTCCCTGGTGACTTCTTTCTGCTCCACTGAACTTGCTCCTTTGTGAGCTCTATGGGTCTCGTTTCCCTCTCCTCAAATAGGCACAGAGACAGGTCTGCCACATAAGAGGTTTCAACTGGAAAGTGAAATTCTGTCTGCCTTCCTGTGGGCACATTTAGTCTAGAAGGGTTCTCTCAGAGCCTGCTCTGGTTTGGAATTGGGGAAGACAGCCCATCTTGTCCTCACTGATGGAGAGCACTAACCCTTAAGTCTGATCTCTGTATCAGATCTTTCCAACTCTGCTCTCTCAACTCCATTTCCTCCTCTTTCGCTTGTGTATACAGGATCCAGAAAGGCATAGAAGCAACAGAAGAATTGAGCCCTAATTTGCTGCTGAGGATTTTCTTTATCCATAGATGGATTGATTCTGGGTCAGTGGGGAAAACATTGCTTAGCAGCCCATTCCATGTTTTAAGCTATTCATGTGGTCAGATTAATTAAAGGAAGACTTGCTTAGGTGCTGGGAAACCTTCTGGAGTACTTAGGGCTATGTCTCTTAAGGCGTGATTTACGAAACACCTGTATCTATACTCACTGAGAATCTTAGGGGGTGATGTCCAAACAGGTAGGCTCTCAAGGTCAAGGAGGACTCAGGAACCAGGATTTGTAATAAATACCTCAAGTTTTATCTACGTGTACTAAGGTGGGGCATTTTCTTCTCTTGAGTCCACTATGTGGTGTCTTCGGTCCTCCCAGCACCACTGGGATGTAGACAGGGCTGGCGTTGTCTTCATTTGCCAATGAGAACATTGAGATTCAACAAAGAACCAAGGCTTGTTAAATGACAGAGGAATAGTTAACTCTAAGATAGTGCTTAATTATAGTCAGAGGCCATTACTCTTCCATTATCACTTTTAATAGAAAAAAAATATCAATCAAATTTTTTTATCAGGGCTAGGGAGACAGCTCAGTAGAATAAATACTTGCCTGGCAAGCACAAGGGCCTGAGTTTAATCCCTGGTTCCTCAAAAAAAA